ACCCAGATAGTGAAGATGGGATATTTCATATCCCTATCTATCCTTCCATACATAACTTCAATTTATGACAAAGCAATTCACAAAACAGCAAAGGCAAAAACCTCCATTTGTCTTCTCTCAGATTCTTCTCCTTTTATTCCTCTTCCATTTTTTTTTTTTTATATAATCCTCCTTCATCCTCAATTATTGCTCACTTTCCAAGAAAGTGAGCCTGCATGTACTAGGCCCTGAGCCACCACAGCAAAGAGCAAACCCCTAGAAGAATACCCTGTCCCTCAGCACCACAGAGGCAGAGTTAAGCCCCCCGATAATCTTATCTGGTCAGACTGATGGAGCAGCTTGCTAAGGCAAGCCTGCTGGACTGAGACCGCTGTAGACAGACAGCGGGCTACAGGGAGTAGAGTGTGAGAGCCAGCCAGACACAAAGAAGCAAACAAGCCTGTGAGGGAAGACTGGAAGACAGCAGGCAGCCAGGCCCAGCAGCTCATATGCTAGTCCAACCCTCACGGCAACCCCAGTGGAATAGTCCCAGCCAGCTCAAGTGAGCCAAATCCTGAGCTCATTTTAATGGCTTTTGTCCCAAACCTGAGTCACTGGGGATTCCACAGACTTCTGAGAGAACTCTGCATGCATTTCCAAAAACAAACTGCTTGATGCTGTCATGGAAAACCTGGATCTTTGCATTCTACAATTTCACTATGGATTACATCCAGGTCACAACCTAAGGAAGACAGCTGGCACAAAACGACCCCGCTGGCTGAGTACCCAGCTTTTGTAATGAATCCCAGAGGGCTATGAACCGATGTGTGTTTCTGGCTCTGCCAAGTCCTGGACAAGTCCTCACCTAGTGAAGACCAGTCAGCCTGTAATTTATTCTACCAGGGGAGCCCAAGAAGTCACCTGCAATCAAGACTCAACTACTAGCAATTGCCTCCAGAAAGGAGAGAAAAGGAGAATGTGTGTTTAGGGAAAAGCGGAGAGAGGTTTATGTTCTTTGTTTTCCTGTCAATACAACTGCTTATCTGCAGCTTAAAAATAAAAAACCTTGAGGACACCTAAAGTGACCCTTAAGCACTGGACTATATACTCTGCAGTCTTAACACAGGTAGGGGCCAAGGAATAGCCTCCATAATGTAGTCATCGTTGATTTCAACAGAACAAGGTAGAGGAAACAAAAAATACATACTAAACCTTTTCTAAGAGGACAGAAATAATTTTAATGAGTCATATAGCTTACCTCTTACTATGTCCCAAACACTCTGCTTAAGCTTTTTAAATGTATTATCTAATTCTCACAACAACCCTGAGGTATATGCTACTATCATATCCATTTTACCAATGAGAAAACTGAGGCGTAGAGAGGTAAATGGGTCGACATTTCAGTCACTTCAGGACGGATCCAGGCCAGGTGAGGCTTGAACTCTTAACTGCTGAGAGTTGCCGGTGGAACACCAAGGACATTTGTGGACAAGTGTTTAGGAAGTCAGCTGGGGGCTCAGCATTAGGCTAGACCTTGATGGCAAATTCTGCTATCTAGGTTAAGTTAATCATAACAGCTGTATTTTATTATTATTTTAAAGTAACTAGTTTTGAGATTGCTACTGAGGTAGCAGATTTCTTTCTCACTTCTAAAGGCAAGAATATCAAGATGTATTTGATACAGACTATGAAGGCTAAACAAGTTTGTCCTATTTAATCTTTAAAGTTAGGTGTAATAAAGAAATATACTTAAGAGTATTTTGTAGTTTTCATCCGGTTACGTTTTTAAAATGTCATTTGTGCCAAAATGAAAGTTGTAAGAACAAATAGTCTGAGTGTATTTCCAAAGAATCCTTTTGTTGCTCAGGCAATGGCCTCCTTTCTCACCATTTGTTTCACTGTAGAATAGATTCAGAGGGGAGAGAGTGGTATGGGGAGGAAAAAAAGACTGATGTTCACAGCTGCAACCAGTCCTTGACTGAGACTGGGGCTGATAAGATGCTATTACAGATTGGCCAAGAGAAGAGAAAGCAAGTCAGCTGCTTCAGACACTGGTGGGGCAATTTTCTTAGCCACAGATTCAGAGCTGCCATTTACGTTGGCTTGAAGTGCATGGCGCAGACTTCCTTTAGAAAGAGACCAGTGGAGCACCACCCCTCCCGGACCCTTGGCGGCATCTGGACCTCACTGGCCAGGATTATAAAAAGGAAAAAAAAAAAAAGTCCACTGAACATCCCTTATTGATGTGCCCTGCCACAAACAGGAGGGAGCTGACTATCTAGCACTTAGTCCATCTTTCCCATGACTTCTTCACAGAGGAGTCTGTTAAGACTGGGAGGAGGGAAAAAAAAACCTAGTTCTTTCTAGTATTTCAGTGGTTATACTCAGATCAGCGGCCTCCAGAGGCCGTCTGTTTATACAGCAATCGCAGTCTCCTATCATTTAAAATTTTGAGTAATTTCAGACTTTTTGCAATTTTGTACATATGCATGGGGAACATTAGTGGGGATAAAGTTAAGATTTCTTTAGAGACTCTAAACCTTTGGAAGAGCAGATGACTTACAGACTAACAGCCCAGGCATGCTACTACTTCCTTCTCTGCTCAGCCCTCTTGCCAGAGGCCTGACAACAGACAGAAAAGTCAGGAATAACACATTAGAGTGAATAGTACGAGGAGGCGTACGCATCTTTGTGTCAAAATGCACACTCTTGCCATTTGAGAACAGTAAACAAGCACCAAAAGATCTGATGGACTAATCAACATTGAATACACTGGACTAACAACTTACCAAAAATTGCATGTAAACAGTTTTCAAGACTGAGAGCTATGTGTGCATTCTGCTTCTAAAAAACTCCAAAGGACATACTGTGGTGTCATGACCCAAGATGTCCCAGCCCTTACTGTAGATGATGACAATTTTCTCAGCATGCAGGGATCACACACCAGGAGGCTCACCTGCCTACCAGCATATTGATAAAATTCATAATGAAGCCATGAAGTCATCAAGGATGGGCAGCTACAACTGGGTAAGGGAAAATGAAGCAGAACACTTCTCAGCAAGTTTTTTGATACATATGGATCTTTGTACATATTCCTAAAGCACTATGTATCTGAGGAGAATAAGAGCATTTCTCTGACACGATAGGTATTGCAGCCTATCTTATTTAACAATTCTGGAAAGTGAAATACCAAGCTAGAGAGCATAAACTTCAGATTTCAGAAGCAAATTAAGACACCATGAGTTTCATAGTATACAAAATCTGAGATAAAACAACTGAAGGTAAGAGCATATTTTCCAATCTATTTTCAGAAAGGAATGCCAAGGTCCTGAAAGGTGGTACATTTATCTCAAGTGAAAACTGTTAGTAACACAACTGAACATTAGTATCCTCTCCCTTCCCCCCACCCCAACTCCTCAAGGGCCTATCCTAGAGATAAAGAGAAGACAGGCCTGAGATGTATCAGGACACAGCCCCCATGCAGACATCAGGACAGGCTCGCAGTTATTTCTCTGGGCCCATTACCCACTCCCATGGGCCCCCTAACACTTGAGAAGGAAGAGAAAACAATTTTTTAAGAGTAGCATTGAGGAATATTCTTTGTTATTTTAATCCTAGTTGTAAATTTGAATTAAATATCTTCTATTCATTGTAATCATTAAAGTTGGCAAACTTGTTACTTTTGTGTTTTAATAGCTATTAACAAGTTACCTAAACCTTTTATTTTTTTCCACCTACAAACATTATCTTATCAGCTCTTTGGGGGAAAAAAAAAATGTTTGATCTGTAATTTTGGAAGCTAGCCCTGCTGAGTTGTGGGGTTTGCTCCAAGTTAGACAAGACTTAATTTACTTTTCGTCTGTTTCTTTACAGCCCTGGACATCAGACTCAGTGCTTATCTTCGCTGTTGAGGAGTCCCAAGTAAGAAAGTTGAGGATATGCTGAGGGATGAGTTACCTGAGCCCTACAGTTAGGGGGCAGATAGATTACTATTTCCCCCATTAAGTGTCCAACTAATAAACACTTTGGTTATTTTCTTATGTTTTTCCCCCTAAAAATCAAGTAATTTTGAGTCTGCTTCTCTACTTCCTTGAGGGTATCCCTAAACTTAGCTGTGAATATAAGTGCGTGTACATATGAATATGTGCATGAATGTGTGCATGAGTGAGTGTGTGTGTGTGTGTGTGTGTGTGTGTGTGTGTGTGTGTGAATTTCTACTGCCTAGAGCAAGTCCCTTGGAGTCAAGTCAGACTGATACTCTCTTGGTTGAAGATCCTCCTTTCAGACCTTTCTGGTAGGCTGTGAAAGTACTGTAGGCAGTGGATGTTTTCTTGCAGCTCACAACCTCCCTCTGGAATCCCTGTAAAGCTCAGACTTTCCTTTCTGCCTATTTCTAACCAGCTCATTAGTGAGAAAGTCCAAGAAAGTGGAAGAATTAGTTTATATTTTCTGATGTGAGCACACAAAACATTCTGTCAGGCTCCAGGAGACAGACAATTTAAACCAGAACATTATTAAACACAGAACAGCTGATTCTAATTCCTTCCTAGCTTGCATCTTCCCCTCCCAAGCTGAAGTCACCCTGCGGTTGGGATAAGGCAGAGAGTCCATGGCAGGACCAGGCACCCTGCCCCTGCATGCACGTCCCCTTCTTAGCACAGCACTTACTGCAGGTGAGCCCCTCTCACTGCGATTCCTTGGCGAATGTACTGAGGTGGTGAGACGCTTTTCATTTAATGGAAAAGCAGAAACAGTAGTACTCAAGCAAAACCTAACAACTTAGAACCCGAGGAAATAAGCATTGTGAGACAAGAGATCAGACGCTTCTTCCGGTTAAAGGCGAGTGAAGCAGGGAAAAGGCAGCAAGGAGGGTGGCACACTCGCTCCCAGAGGAAATCTGAGTGGACAGACGGTATCATTTTCAAAACTGGCCAGCAAAATGAGTCAACTATGAGCGTGTGACCCTGCAGGAGCCCGGGCCCGAGTGCTCTCAGACCCCTCCTGTCTCCCAGCTCACCTACCTGCAATTCCTTGCAACAGCCCGCAGACGTTGAAAATACTTTTCTTCATGATGCTTTGCACACACATGGTGAAGACGGACACCAGGGCCACCGTACAGAGAATGAAGATGCCCGTGGCTAAGAAAATAGCAGTGGCCTGCCAGAAGCCACTGGCAATTTCACTGAAGCTCTCAGCGTAGGGCCCGCACAATGTCTCCCGCTGGAAGTGTTGCACCCCAGGATTCCGGATGCAGCGGGCGTAGATGCCCAAGGTGGGGTGGGAGCGCTCCAAAGGGCCCCTATTCTCGTCATCGGGCTCAGCGTTGTTGCGAGGGTTGACTTTTCCAATTAGCCAGTCTGCGCTCATGAAGGCAATGAGCTCTGCAAAAGCCACCACAATACTCAGGAGGGTCCAGAGCATCGAGCGACAGGTAACAATGACATGACACATATTGATGTTCAAGGCAGAGAAAGAGTCAGGAGTCCACGGGGTTAATATAAGAAGGTCTGCAGGGAAGGCGGCTTAGGCGGTTGCTGGCTCAGGAGGCAGGCTCAGGAGGCAGTTGCTGCTCTGAGCATTCACTCCCACAGTGTGGGACTCCTTTCTCCAGGCTACTGGCAGCTGGGCTATCCAGGGCTGTCATGCTGCCATGTCGAGCTCCTGAGCTGGGCCAGCCTCACCTACAGGAGAGAAGGGAGGAGGCAGTTAGCAGGGACCAGACCCCGCCCCGCCCCTCGGCACCACCCTCTAGCAAACTTCAGGTCCCCCAACAGAAGTGTGAGCCTCCGGCCCAGCAACTCCCTGCACAGCTGACCTTCCCAATCAGCCCTCTTGCTCACACACCCAACCCTTCCCAGCCCTTGTCACCACCCCAGTCCCACAGAACCCCCCTACAGCAAATCCTGGTTCCCAGCCAGCATGCCGGCTGTTTTCAGCACATTTGCTGGTTTTCTTTGTTTCAAGTTCTCCCTCGCCATACTCTCAGAACTGTTTGTGGTGGTTACTCTTATCTCCAGGCAGCAAGACAGTAGAAAGAGGTCAATGCTGGTTCCTGCATCTACCCCAGAGGATCCTGTGCCATCTTTTATTAGAAGTCAGATAGCACGGGGATCCAGACGGGTCTAGATATGACTGGCAGTGAACTGTGTCAATGGACTGGCTACATTTTTAGTTTACAGGACTTTTTGCTTGCAGTTTTGGTACTTTGATAAGCTAAGTTTTCAAAAACTTGCAACAACTTTTGCTAAATGTTGGAAAGTAGCAACACCCAAATTTATTGACTAGGGATCGAGTTACTAGCAGAGGCACAGAGTATTTGCTTCATAGGTAAGTGAAGACTATAAAAGGGGACAGTACCATGAAAAGTGATTAATACATTTCTACCCAAACATTTTTTCACGCATTTCTCACAGGGTGAGTATTAGACAAAATACATTATACTAATTTAAACTCAAAAATAACAACTTGAAAAGTTCATGACTTACTCAGTTGGGAAAAATATTCACAACAGAGGCATTAATGACCATCAACTAAGTGTCATTACCACTGAGTAGACTTGTTGACGACAGAAACTTGCCCATGAAGAATGCATCTCTTGAACTATCCCAATTCGTCACATATGCCCCTGCCTGAGCCCCAACTCACCCAGGTCTGGAACTCAACATGCCCATTGTTTCACATCTCACAAGGACTCATTCTGTTCCCAAGGACAAATGGCTTCATTACCAGAGGGCTCTGCTCTAGCAGCTCAAGCCTCCTTCAGAGGGGACTGAACCCTAAACTGAGGTTGCAGTTGCTCATAGGCAGCCCCCACTTTCTGCCCCCCTTCTCCAAGGTCAGGAAGAATCAAGCAGACATCTGGGCGTAGGCCATGTACTGAATGATTAGATCTCATTAACCAAGGTCATGTCAACTCCATAAGAAGTACAAAGAGCCCTTGGCATGCTGGCAGCAGGGTGGGGCAGGAGTTATGGTGAGGGAGGGAAGTGGGGAAATAAGGAAGCCCAGTGTGTTTCTCCTCCAAGCTTGTGGCAGCCGACTGGGCAGTGCTCTCATAAAACACATCACATTTAAAAATTATCACATCACTGTAGTTATATAAGATGCTATTTGCGGAAATTTGCAGGCCCAATACTAGGAACACAAGCACATGATAATTGTTGGGTATGTGTGTGTGGGGGAGCTGTTTAAATGGGGCTGTGGGGAGCACTGGGGAAGGGATAGGTGGTGTGTTCCACAGCAATAGTTATGGACACCATCATGTCTGCATTCCAGCCCAGCCTCACTATCGTCTGGCCATGAAGATGCCTAACCTCTCCTAGGCTCATTTTCCTCATCCACCTCACACATAGGGTAAGGGTGTCCTGCCTCCCAATATTATTGAGGAATAAGCAAGACCGGTCCAGTCACCTCACAGAGTGCCTGGTATAGTGAATGCTCAACAAGTTCCAACTCCTTTATCTCAGAGGCTCTTTCCCTAACAAGGATGACACTGATCAGACAACAACGCAGCCCAAGGATTGTACTAAGTGAAGTCAGGAGAAGGACAAACACGGGATATGTGGAATATAGAGAAACAAAACAAAAGGTCAGATAGAGCCCCACCAATAACAAACCCCAGAAATTTGACTGAAAATGAGACCGCTTGAGGGAATGGGAGATGAGGGACGAGCAAAGCATGGAGGGGAAACAATGGACTATGGTGGATGACCGGGTGCTTGGTGGTGAGTGTGGCTGGTAACATACATCTGAAGAGGTGTGATCCTAGATCTCTAAATCATATACATCATGGTAAACTAGTGTTACTTCAATGAAAACAAGTAATAATTAAAAGAACAACAATGTAACCTATGGAGGTGTGCAGTACCCCGGCTATCCAGAGATGGGAGGTCACTTGTCTCTAAGTTTCCTTGGTGGGCTTCGAGGGCAGGATCCTGGGTTTCCCATTTACCCACTGCTCAACTCAGTTGTCAAACTAAAGCACGGAAAATAAACTAGCATCAGGGTAAAGGTAACACTCCCACTCACTCATTCTTACCCCCTCTTCTAATGTCACTAAATAGAAATGTCCTTTCAGAGGCCTTTGCCAAAACAAAAGTGTTTTTGGAGGAGTCTAAAATGAAAGCAATCATTCCAAATGAGAACAAGAAAACAAGTCTTGATGCCTCTCCAGGCCCCGAGGAACTGCACTCCCGCTGAGCGCACAGGCACTTTGAGCCAACAGGTGAAGGGCCAGCCCGTCAGCAAACAAGGCTTCTACAAAGTTTTCCACTTTGATTAGGAAACCAATTTATTGATACACAAGCTCAATCTCAATCCCTGCCCCTCCTCTTGTTTACTGAGACATAAAACCTCCATGTGTGTCCTCTTGTAGCGGCTCAGGACTGGTCCCTCTCCTCCCAGTGACCTGGCTCCACTGTCCTGCTCAGCAAGCTCTGCTCAGAGTCTGGAGCATTTAGATGGCCACTTCTGAAGAGAAAGGGTGGAAACTTCCAGCGAAGGGAAGACAACACATTCAGGCTTAGTCAACTGGTCCAAGGCAGGATTCTTTCAAGACTCATGCTAAATAAAGTTCAGAAAACGTAGTTCCCTATTCATTTGTGCTGAACAATCCCCCTTGCCCACTGCACTAAATTCTCACATCCATGCTGGAGTGAGGCCGTTATTCTCCTCTGTTTGAAACAGGGAGATAAGATGCACTCCAGCAAGGTTGCTAATTACTACGAGAGGAAGAGCAATCACCAGCAGCGCTGATGGACTAAAACTGCATTTCTAGAGGATCTAAGGAAAGCCCTCTCGGTGGTGGAAATGTAGCAAGGGGATTCGGTAGCTGTATGTGCTGTTAGGTGTCTCTGTTTGGCCTAATCACATATGCAGGAGAAGGGACCTGCTGAGACAACATCCACACCAAAGGGGAAATAGACCTTTCTGATAGATCTCGTTAAGCACAGAGATTCAGGCACAGAGCCCCCTGGCACAGTCACCCACTGCCATTCACTGTAACACCAGCTTCTCCAAGCTCACTACAGCCAGGCCTGCACTGACATCCCACGAAAGGGTCTTCCCTCCCTGGGCCACTACGCACATTTCCCCTCTAGGACATCTGGCTTCACTATCACATCCCTGATGGCTGCAGATCATGTGAGCAGCTCTCTGACTTTCAGAAAATCATGTGAGGATTGTCACAGCAGTTCCAGGGTAAAGCCTCATAGGAAGTAATAAGAGAAAAGGAACCACCACCACCAAACAAGTATCCTGGAGAAACCTACAGTAATACTACAGTCAGAATACAGAGCAAGGAGGAGGTGATGATGGGTTGGTGTGTGGGAGTCAGGCAAAGTCATGTTGGCTCAGAGTGAGTCCCAATATTTAGAGGAAGGGGGAAGGGTCACACAGACCTGAGTGTGGGGGTGGAGGGTAGTCACGTCCACCAGGGGCCCTGTCTGGGGCAGCTTCTGCAGTGACACAGAACCACCCAGCACAGTTGCAAAGTTCAGACACCCAGGAGCAAATTTACTTCAACCCAGATAGGTGGAAGCAAACTGAAAGGACTTCAAAACTTCACCAAAAAGCCCACACTCTCCACCATTACGAAGCGTGTGAATGAGGTCGTGATAAAGTTTGAAAAACATTACCTTGTTTCTTACTTGGTTATGTTTTTCAGTGTTAACATTAAATTTTACAGACATAAGCTGAAAAGAATAATGAACACCCAGATCTAACACTTGTTAACATTTTGCAACATTTGCTCCCTGGATCCATGGGGCACACACTCTAACACTCATTCAGAACGTTTGTTCTGAACCATTTGAAAATGAGTCACAGATGTCTTGACACTTCACCCCTAAATACTTTAGCATACACCTCCTAAAAATAAGGACATTTTCCTACTTAGCCACAATAAAATTCACACATCCAAGAAAACTGACAATAATTTCCTTATATCCTAGTCCATGTTCAAATTTCCCTACCCTGCCCCATTTTTATAGTTGTTTTCTTTCAACCATGACTGAATCAGGACTGACGGCTCATGCATTACCTTTGGACATGTCTTTAGTTTCTTTTCATCAAAACAATCCTCCCACTCCTAACCTATCCCTTCCTGGCCACATCCCTTCTCCCCCTGCCCCCAACATTGACATTACTTTTGAAGAAGCTATGTCAGTTGTCATAGGATAACCCCAAATGTCTGGATTGGTCTATTTCTCATGATGTCATTTAAACTTGTTCTCCATCCCCTGCTTTATAGAACCAGAGGCTAAATGTAAAGGCTAGTTTAGTTTAGATTCAGCTTAAACACTTTTGTGTAAGAATCTTTGGTAGGTTATGCTATGTAATTCCTACTGTATCATACCTGGAAGGAATGACTGGACTATACGTCAGAATCAGAATAATTTTATACATACATATATAGCTACTCATATCTATTCCTTGACTCTGCCTCTCTTGGGGTCTCGGCAGTTTCTCTGGATTCCACACTGAAGTCAGCCTTTGTCTTCAGCAATCTATTTCTACTTTGCAAGTAGCAAAATGGGGCTCCTTGTTACTGTCACCTTTCTTTATCTCCACCTGATAGTCTTGGACTTTGCTTCAGAAAACTACAAGTTTGGCCACATGGTTTTAGTTTCTTTTAAATTTCCCTCTTGTAGAGTTGGTACATGATCGGGACATGCTCAGCTGG